CTACTCAATGCTTGTAACCATGCTGCCTTCCCAGCACCAAGCTGCATTGTACATCCAATACAACATGTATACAGAGAGCACATTGTGAGTTTCCTTTCTCCATCCCATCCTGAGTGCGAACCAAACCACCCATACCCCACAAATGGTGACCCCCCGGAGATTCGCGCTCACACAGGATGGAGGAGAAACAGATCACGCTCCCAGTCTTCAAGCAACATGGAAGACTGGCTTATCCACCCAGAAGCAGCTCTCATCGGCTCTACAGCTACTGTCTCTAAACCGCAGGTTAGACACCCTAGAGTAGCACTGCTTCTCTAAGCATACACCAGCCCCAAGCACCACGTCCTACCGACCCCAGCACACCCGTCCTGCCTCAGACGCCGCCCCTGGCCCAGCAGTACCCCCTGCCGCTCCTCCTGATGCAGCCCCTGCTCCCGACGCGGCCCATGCGCCAGAGTGCGGACCAACACACCCCTCTTTTCTCCCTCAGGTACTCCCTGTTACTGTCCTGCACCCTGCTGCTGTCGTGGACCCAGCTGCTGTCACGAGCCCTCATCCGCTTCTGCTGACGCAGCCCCTGCTCCTGACCCAGGCCCACACACCTCAGCAGGCGCATCTGACGACTCTGTACCTGCCGTCAGGGAAGCACAACATTCATCGCCTCCACACACCCTTTTTCTCCCTCTCTACTCCCACAGATATTGTGTATCTAGACAGTTGTCTCCTCTAGCGGCCGGCTCATCCACGCCATCGTCGTTATGGCTCACATGTGGCATGCACCGCCCGTTCTGCCTCACATGTGCCATGAACCCCTGCAGACAACAAGTCTCCTACACCGCTTGGAGGGAAGGAGGGAGTATTGTAGTGGATTTCTCCCCTATAAACGCTGTTTGTCGCTGAGTAGCCGATCCCGCGAATTCCCCAGTGTATGCCTCGTGGTCTAGGTCAACCAGCGCCGCCTTACATGACGGAGGTCAACTACTAAGCCACGCCTACCCCCCGCTATTTAAGACCTGACCTCGTGGTGACCTCTCTCTTCTTCTAGCTACAGCCGCAGCAAGCAAGACCACCTCCTCCGCCGCTGCCTGGCGGCCCTCGCTCCCACTGGCGAGCATGGCGACCCACAAGCTGTCCTCTGAGCACCCTCACCAACCAGCTCTCTCTACATCACGCTTGTAACCACGCTGCCACTTCCCAGCACCAAGCTGCATTGTACATCCAATACAACATGTATACAGAGAACACATTGTGAGTTTCCTTTCTCCATCCCATCCTGAGTGAGAACTAAACATCCCATACCCCACAAGGGAACAGACAAATTTCTTGTAGTAATTGAGTCATTCAAAGTGGATTGATGTTAACCACATGTACAGTACGAATGCTGGTAGCACCAATGATGAATTAAGATTAATATTTGCTGAACATGGAATACCAGAAGAGGTAGTATCTGACAATGGTCCTCCATTCCAATCATTAGAGCAGCTCTTCACAGTCCGCTTGGTTCTTAATTTCCCGAAATAACTTGGCGTCATCGGCAAACATTTGTATGGAGGAGTGTACAACGTCAGGCATGTCATTTATGAACAAACAAACAACAGCGGGTCCAATACACTGCCCTGTGGTACCCCACTTGCGACAGGTACGGATGATGATTTCGTGCCATTAATCACCACACACTGCTTACGGTCATGTGGAAAGTCTTCTATCCACACATTAACACTTGCATTATAAAATTATAGCTCTTTGTTTTACAGGAGCACAAAATTATTTACACATTCATAAATATGAGCATTATAAAAGTAACATCGTATCACATCTAGGAAAAATCAAACAGATAAAGCACAATATTGAAAATTTCATTAAGTGATAAGGTTCATTTTAAAGTTCATATGGTTGGGTGGTTATGGAGCGTACTGTATGTGGCCAGTTGTCAAATTCTCTTTGCTTGTCTATTATCTCTTTGTATGGGCTCACATACATACATGTACGATATCTCATGCTCAGGATGGAGGTAGAATAGAAACTCACAATGCATTTTCTGTAATATATTGTATGTACAGTGCAGTGCGCTGCTGTGTGGTGAGAAGCTTGCCCAGAGGTCCTGTTGGGTGAGGAGCTTTCTGAGGGAGCTGGTTGGTGAGGCGCTGTTGAGAGGTGTTGCTGGTTCAGGTGAGTAGCGTAGAATGACCTCCACGGAATGAATAATGAATAAAGGCTAATGACGGGGGAAAGAGGTTCAGGGAAAGGATAAAGGGAGGATTGAAGTGAATTTTAGGAGAGAAAAGGTGCAGTGGCTAAACACCGCTTGCGTGAGGGGGTAGGCAATGTGCCCAGATGGGTGGGTGGTGCTGCAACACACAATCACAATCAGGACGAGGGGGAGGCGGGAGTAGGATCGGGCTGGCAAAGGCCAAGCGTGGGTGGTTTGGTTGTCGTCTGAGCTCAGGCTGTGTTGGCGAAGCGGAGGAAGAAACCACCCCGCCACGGCGGTGGCGCAAGCAGAGAAGTGCAGGTGGACGGACGCACAGGCACACTGTGGGGTATAGGATTGTTTGTGTTCACACTCAGGATGGGGTGGAGAAAGGAAACTCACAATGTGCTCTCTATATACATGTTGTATTGGATGTGCAATGCAGCTTGGTGCTGGGAAGGCAGCATGGTTACAAGCGTGATGTAGAGAGAGCTGGTTGGTGAGGATGCTCAGAGAAGGACAGCTGGTGGGTCGCCATGCTCGCCGGCGGGAGAGAGGACCGCCAGGCAGAGGCGGAGGAGGTGTTGCTGGCTGCGGCTGCAGGTAGAAAGAGAGGGATCACCACGAGGTCAGGTCTTCAATAGCAGGGGTAGGCGTGGCTTAGTAGTTGACCCCCGCTCCGTGATGTATGGCAGTGCTGGTTGACCTAGACCACGAGGCATACACTGGGGAATTGGTGGGGTCGGCTACTCAGCGACAAACAGCGTTTGTAGGGGAGAAATCCACTACAACACTCACTCAAAGAAAAACAAGCAAGGGGAAAACGGAAATGTAGATAACCGTAGAGTTGTTTGGAGAAAGATGAAGGTAAATCTTTGAGCTATGTCAAAGAGGAACGGAGCGAGTTGGAGGAAGAGTTCCACGGCCAGCCTGCCGTGTATTTATACAATTCTGCCAGATCAGAAAACGAGGTGTGAATCGTGCGGGAGCCAATCACCGTAGGGAAGGCGAAAGGTGTCAAGAGTTCTGATCCGGCTGGGATGTTGAAGCTCGGACCTTGCTCGGCGATACTACCCCTGCGTCCACACCCAGGGAGGTAGTCCGCCGACGTCGCTGGCTGTAAGCTGATTGGCTGGTAAGCGGACGGCGGGTGATCAGTCGGCAGTTGTAGGGGAGAGTATCCACTAGTCATGTCCCATAAGCTCATGGAAAGCAAAATTCCAACTCTCGCATAGGTTGTTGGTGCGATCCTTGCCTGATGGACATCCCAAAACTGTAGTGGAATTGGGGGGGGGAATCCTTCTAATGCATAGTGGAGGAAGTATCCCATCAGGAAGAGCTGGATGCGACGATAAGTGCCGAACACATAGGTGCTCCTGAAATAGTCCACTAGGCCTTCTAGTCCGTCAACATCGGGTATATTCTCCAGAAGATAGTTCATCCCATTGCCCACCTCGTCTACAGGTAGAAAGGTCAGTCCATCCAACATTCCACAAAAATGTTTTATTCGATCATCATTTCTGCATGAAGCAGTCAGTCCTAAGATACCAGGATAGATCACATGACCACTAAATGGTGACCTGGCACAGTGGTCACCTGTTGAGGGTTTACTCAAGCAGACAAAACAGTGATCAACTATATTTTTAGGATTACTTCATTATTTAAAATTATTTAATTTTTAATTATTTTTTTAGAAGCCCTCTTTAAAATTATTAAAATGGACTTAAAGTCTGAATATAGAAAAAAAATGGGGGCTTGTGGATATTTCCCCTACAACCACAACTACAACTGCCGTTTGTCGCTGACTAGCCGACCCCTTTTCGAATTCCCCAGCCAACGCCTCGTGGTCTAAGGTCAGCCTCTAGCGCCGCCTAACATACCAGAGGTCAACTATCAAGCCACGCCTACCCCCGCTATATAAGACCTCACCTCGCCGTGACCTGCCCCCTTCTACCTACAGCCTCGCAGCAGCAACACCTCCTCTGAGCACGCGCCTCACCAACCAGCTCTCTACCCCACGCTCCCGAACCAGTCAGCTTCCAACCACGCTGCAACTAACCAGCACCAAGCTGCACTGTACATCCAATGCAATATATTACAGAGAGTGCATTGAGTTTCCTTTCTCCAACCCATCCTGAGTGTGAACCAACATCACGAAACCCCGCAGGCTTTTGTCCTATTTTTTGTACTCTAAATAATGTTTTTTTTTGTCCGACTTTGCACTTTACTTGAAGGGGTTTTGTCCAAGGGGGTTTTGTCCTAGGGGTTTTTTGCCCAACACTCAATCACCACACACTGCTTGCGGTCATGGAAAATAATAATTGCTATTCAATCAATTAGACCAAAGGCAACTTACTAAACCAAGAGATGCATGTTTCCAATCAGCATCTAGTGTTCATAAGGCCAAGCTGCCACCCATACAAGTACTAGCCAGACCCAACGTTACTTGGTCAGGCAACACTGGTTAGTCTGGTTCCATGGTACTACTGACTTGTTAAGTTATTTATAATCATCGTAATTACTTCTTATATGTATTTCGTTTTATGTATTGAGATAAATTATAGTAAACCTTAGTTCATTTTATGTTATCGTGAGATGTTTTAAAGTACGACAACTTCGTCAAGATTACTGTACGAACACATTCAACTTGGTGATTGTTATATGTAAACAGAAGAAACAAATTGATCCACTCCTATAATAGTTGTATATTACCCATAACTTTACTGACAAGTTTTGAAATAATGTATCAGTTCATTTTCAGCACTAGAAAATAATATGTTTAAAATTTGATTTATTGTTATAATTAATTAAATACGGTGATTATATTCTCAGTAAGCGGTGTTATATATCGTACGATTTAACAAGCGACTGATACTGTTAACGAGGAGACGACTGAAAGGGAAAGTTTGACAGGGTGAGCTGTCTTCACTATATTTGTTTGCTGGATAAAGCTTTGAGTGTCTCCTGTATTCATATTACTTAATTTTAGACGAAATTAGTGACTAGGAATTAAGATTTGACAAAGAAGCGTTTAACTTCGCTTTTATAATGATGATTGGAGGTTAAAACTTTACTTTGCCCAACAAAATTTACACCAACCTAACTGAACATCTTAAATCTAACCCAATGTTACTTTTGAAGTAAAATCTGGATGGCTAAATTGTAGAAGCAGTTTCTGGGAAAATAGATGAAAATGATCTTATAATTAGATGTCTTATTCAAATATGATAATAGATTAGTGGTAGGAATGAACGGTGTTACAAGAAAATAATACCGAATTTAGAGTAATTATATAGGACTAACTCGTGGGCAAAATTGATTGACACTGTTGTAAATTGTGGAAATATGTTAAAAATAGATATTTTAAAAATAAATGCTACTTAACATTTGTGGTTATGAAGAACAGACCTAACCAACCAAACCAAACAATACTACCTAACTTAACTTCTTGAATGTACCTGAACCTGCTCCACTGTTGGTCAAGTCTTGTCTTGAAATAGCTCACACTCGGTGCCGTCACAACACTTTCTGGTAGATTGTTCCAAAAGTTTACAACCCTCACTCCGAAAAAGGTTGCCCTCACAGTTTTCCGGACTTGCGGCTTCTTCAATCTTGAGCTGTGACCCCTTGTGGGGCGAGCGTTCGCCAGCTCCAAGTAAGGACACTCGACTGAGTAGTGCCCCCTGAGATGTTTATATACCTCAACTAGGTCCCCCCCTTGCCCGTCTGTGGTATAAGCTAGGCAAGTTCAGGCGCTCCAATCTCTCAGGGTAGCTGAGGTGCCGAAGTGCAGGCACCAGTCTGGTGGCCCTCCTTTGAACATTTTCAACCAACTGACAGTCCCTAGCATATCTCGGGGACCAGACGGGGTGACAGTACTCCAGATGGGGAAACACTTCACTCTTGAAGATCGTTACGAAGGAGTCATTCGATGTTCTGGGTGTGTACCGCCACTTACGAACATACATAATAAAATGTTAAATATCTTGCATATCTGTAATTAGTGCCAGAAATGTCATTGAAGGAAAGTGTCTTAGAATTGTCAAAATTACCGATATTAACTTTAACATTCTCGAGATTCGTTTACTGGCAACAAGTGAAATAATACCAAGAACTTATGTTATGGAATTGCAACAAAATTTGTAGAGATGTTATTTTCAAGGTACTAAATAAGAAGATTGATATGATAATGCACAGAACTAACAACTTGACAGTACAGTAATTATTGATGACTGACCTGCCGCCGACATTTCATAGAAAACGATTATAAAAATGCCGCAGTTCACTGGGTAAATATTTAGAAGTTGCCATCACCTACTATAAATTTCATCTTATGTTGAGAGAAAGAAAAAATATAAATAATTTGTTCTATAGCATTTCTGTTGGAAATTTATATATATATATTTTTTTTGTATTTTAACTGATAAAATGAAGTGGAGAGAAAATGTGGGGTAAAATAATAAAAAAAATATAATGGTAAATAAACTTTTGAAAACCTGACCTAACATTTCTTAACCTTTAAAAATCCTAAAACTATAAGAAGTTGCCTTATTCGTGTTTTCGATGTTTGTTATGTGTTGGTGTTGTTTTCAGTGTTCAGATGAGAAGGGATCCATAATCTCGAAAGTGATTCTTAAAATTTTTACAAGTTAGGAAATGTTCAGGTAAGGTTTTCAAAGGTTTGTTTGGTGTTATTTTTAAGTATTTTACACCACATTTTTCCTCTACTTCAAAGCCTTGCTCACTATGAACAAGTAATATTGTGGGTAATTTTATCGGTTAAAATACTCCCAAAATATAAATTTACTACGGAAACATTACAGAATAAATGATTTTTTGTTTTTCTCTTTCTCCCTATATAATACTCGATATACAGTATAAGTAGGTGTTGGCAACTTCTAAATATTAACCTCACTGTGTTTTATTGTGGACACTGTTGTAGTTTGTGCAAATGTGTTAAAAAGTTATTTCTAAATTAAACCTAACCTAACCTTAGGAGATAATAAAAGCAAGCAACAGAAGTGGTGTTTATTAAAATTTATATTGAATTGATTTCGTTAATTTTTTCTAGAGATATTGTTTGGATGATAGTGAGTAAGAAAACCAAAATGACAATACACAGGATGGGAAGTTAGGTTAGGTTAGGTTAGGTGAGGTGAGGTGAGGTGAGGTGAGGTGAGGTGAGGTTAGGTGAGGTTAGGGTAGGTAGGGTAGGTTAGGTTAGGTTAGGTTAGGTGAGGTTAGTTAGGTTAGGTCAGTTTCTAATAGGTTCTGTGTATTGTCATTTCGAATTTCTTACTTCACATCGTCCAAACAATATCTGAAAATTTGGTGCAATTCCATAAACTCTTTCTGGTGCCAACTGTCAATATGTATATAGTTCTTTGGTTGTCCTCTACTGAATCTTTACCAGAAACATTTCTGTAGATGAATACTTCCTTCTTGCCCCCAGATTATCCATAAAAAAAATTGAGGAATTAAAGCTTTCCTATTTTTGTTTTTCTTTAGTTTTTATTCATGGTTAAATTGCTGATAAACTGTCAGCAAGTGATTTTAATGCTTAGCAACAGAATACTGTACAGTACTTCCTTTCAAACTTTCCAATTTAACTGTTAACAAAATAACACCCTAGCTTACCTAACTTAAAATTATGTACTTTGGTTATGTCTGGTCAGTTATGTTGGGTTTGTTTGTCTCATTTACGCTGTTCAAGTATGAAATTATTTCCAGGACAAAATCTCGTAGCTGACTAAGAATATGAAAATCTTGTTATTTTTGACATACAGTAAAGAAACTAGTACCAGACCACCTGAGAAATGATGCATCTCAATAACAACATGAATCTAGGGGAAAAATTATTTAAAATATATTGAAAACTGTATCTTGTAGGTCATTGTTCTCATTGTGGAGCAATGCGGGGTGGACCGTTGGGTCCCACCTGCATCACAACAACACAGCAATACTCAAATCTGTTTTCATGTGGCTTTTACTCAGTGCAGCTGTGCCTGTTCTCCCATAACATATAAATAAACTTGAAGTGCTAGCCGTGGTCAACAATAAAAGCCCTGTTCCTGCTTCTCCCACAATCTGCACACTTACTCCCATGGACATAAGAAATGTTTATTCTCTGTATGTTTTTTACCTTGTGATATTTTTATTTTATTTTATTTTTATTTTTCATATTCCGTATAAGCTAGAGTGGTAAAGTAACAAAATAAATTTACCCGAGTACTGTACTTAAGTAACATTTTTGGGTATTTACATTTTAAAAATTGCTCAAAATTTTTAATACTTTTGCTTCTCCTTAAATATGGTTTTGTAATAATTTTACTCCAATACAGTTGAAAAAACAAAAATCGTTACTCGTTACATGCAAATTAATAATAGATTTTTAATTAATTAAGTAATTAATTATTAACCATAGTAAAAGAGTTGTGTGGGTGGAGGGTATGGTGTGGGTGTGGGGAGACACCATGCGGTCACATGCCTACAGGTCTCGTGAGGTGAGGTGATGTCAGGTCAGGTGGCAGTGGCCATGACTGTGAACTTTCCTTTTGATCTTCTTGTGTCCATTAGCACCTTGACCACCCACCTCACCTAGCTTACCCTCTTATCCCCTCTCTTCTCCCCGACCTTTCCTTCTGGGGCTTGGTCTTCTCATTAGATGTCAGTTGCTCTTTGCATATACTGTACTGTACTTAAAATGAATTTCAAAGAGGTTGTGATTCTAAAATGCTTTACATAATTCCGTCTTACATATAAAGCCTGTATCTATACATACAGAGGGTCCACGGGTTACGACTGAGGACGTTCGTAAGTCGGAACACATGGTACTATATGCGTACTGTACTTACAAAACAATGTTTAAAATCCCTCTATATCATAGCCTAAGTCCTTATATACAGTACATCTAAAATTATTTAATTTAAGACAAAAGAAGAAATAGAATGACAAAATACAGTAAATGAAAGTAAAAAATAAGTCGTCAGGTAAATAAAATACTGTACTATGAATTTCAAGTTTAACCCCATTTGTATCAGCGGGTGTTCGTAAGTCAGGGACCTGTATGTGTGAGACTGATTGTATTTAAAATATGCTTAAGTAACTAAGTACCACTGCCGTTCCCCCCCAGCACCCACCAGATGTTACATGGCGGGAAAAATTCAGCCACTCATCAATTAGAATGAATAAAAAAGTGACATCAACACATCCACACCCCAGTTAAAGGGACAGTTCACGGTTAGTCTTAGTCAGATTTGGTCACTATGGAGGCATCATTCTTCCACAAACTCCTCAACTGAAGGAGCTTGATAGCTAATTGGCATAACCAGGGGATGGAATGGAGCGACTGAGGTCTTTCCCGACATTGTGAGTTATCTCTCAAGTTTAACACCCTACTGTAGGCATATGTTGCTTGAGAGCCACTGTTTAGTCATGTTGGGGTTATTATTTATTATTTAATTAATTTATTACACCCCAGGGGGTGACAAGCCTAGTCACAGGACCATGCGGTCAGACACTAATACTGTACATTGGTACTCGTGCCTCGCAAGACACGCTATGACTTGTGACATGGAGACAATATTGATATGATTTAAGGACAATGAAAGTTAGCACCCACTAAATTATTACAATAAAGTAGGTGGTGACATATAGTGGTTAGTGACTTGTCCTGTGGTAGGAGGTGGGACAGTCAAGGCAATAGTGTTGAAGGGTGTTAGTGTTGGGACAGTTACAGTGTTTACAGGAAGAGAAGTGCAGGTCATCCTCCACCTCAAATACTTGCCAGATAGTTCTGTATCCTAACCTAATGTAAGCAGAGACAACATTATGTCTGTGGCCCTTAAGTCCACATTAACGATACTTGTGTGGATAAGGAAGAAAGTGATCATAGTGTTGGATGGATATATTTTCAGCCCATTCACCGTCTCTGCAATGGACTGTAGGGAGAGGAGCAGCTGAATGTATTCTCTTTTGGTAGGTCATCCATGCATATATTTAGGCCTAAAAGATACTGATTAGACAGCCATAATTTTGAGTAAAGAGATTTGCAAATACAGCACAGTAAACATTTACTGTGGATTTATTTTAATATTTGAGACAATAAATTTTTTGTTACTTTTACTTTTTTTATGGGGGGGGGGGGATTAGCCCACTCAGGCACAGGTCACTGACCCACAAGGGGGCCTGGGGGGCAAAAATGTAATTAATAATAATAATAATAATTCATAGGAAATAAAAATTATAATAAAAAAATCTTAAATAAAATAATAATGATAATAATAACAACTGTAATAATAATAATAATAATAAACCATAAAGAAATACAAAAATTAAAAAAAATCAAGAGTGAGAAACAATATATATGTACTGTATGTTGTGTTGTCAATGGTAAGAGAAACAATTGAGACCCTACAATTGTGTGTAAATGAGGTAGTTAAAGTCAGATCAGCAACCTGGGACTTAGTCACAATTTTTGTGATGCCATATGGCAGGGGTGGCCAACCTTTTACATACCATGCGTCAATTTGTTCACACACGAGTTCAGATGCGCCATACAACTCTTGTACCCCCGTCTACTTCTTGTAAAAATATGTTTATAGACATAATTAGCATTTTTACATGATAAAATTTTTAAATATAAAAACAATATCTGATAAAGCAGATACACATTATTTACCTTTAATGAGACTTTTGAGTCTGTTTTGATTTCGCCAGTCTTTCAATGTTTGGAGTTAAATTTGTTACTGGGAGCAGCAGAGAATTCTTCAAATTTGAATCAGTCAGTCGCGACCTCGATTTGCTTTTAATCAATTTCATGGATGAAAATGCTTGTTCACATCTATATGTCGTTCTGAAACGACATATATAACTCTGGGCAAATTTTCTTAGTTCTGGGAAATTTTCACAGGGTAATGATCGTCAGAAATTAATCATGTCAGAAGCATTTGGGACTGAGGAAAGCTCATCAAATTTCATTTTCAATAATGAATTTGTTTTCAAGTCAATAAGTTCCATTTGTATATCACTAGGCATCTTCATTATTTTTTGTTCACTAAGTGAAAATGGGTTTATAAATGCGAGTATGCAGTCTTCTTCTTCAGCAAAATCATGAAAACGACTTTCAAATGACCTGCAATAACTTGATTTTTTCAGTATATTTTGTCAAATTGCCATTATCAGCAGCACACTCACTCTGCTCTTTTAAGTGCAGAAACTGGCTCAAATCCTCATTTTCTAACTGAGAGATGAACAGTTTTAACTTCATCTTGAATGCATTGATGTCATTTACTAAGCTAGGAAACAATTTGTTCTTGCCCTGCAGTTTCAAATTTAGATCATTGAGATGTCTGGTAACATCAACTAAAAATGCCTAATCAAATAGCCAGTTTTTATCACATAAAAGGGCTCTTTCCTCAGGTAGCTCATTTTTCTCTAATAGAAAATTATGAACAGTATTTTTCAGTTTCCAAAACCTACTCAGAACCTGTCCTCTAGAAAGCCAGCGCACTTCACAAATTATTATAATAATAAACTATTCATTGTTATTTAAGGTCATAAGAAGTTTTCAAATGTTCTTATATTTGCTTAAATAATGAAGAAATTTTGATCTGAGAATATTGTGGCAGTCCTCATTGTAGTTGATTTGCCAATTATTATAATAATTCTACCTTTGGATTGTTTAATATTTTTCCGTACAGTGACACAGCCGAAAATAGATCCACCAATCACAATCACCTTTACATACAGCCTTACTTTACCAAGTATTGCCAGGTAAAATTGTGAGCACGAGATCCAGGAAGGGGTCGGTGCATCTTTGGCTGACTGTACATGCCATATAATTAAATGAAATTACTACAAGAACATAAAATCATATACTGTATAAGAACACTGTGTGTATCTCAATAAAACCACACCGGAAAATGGAAACAATGGAGCACCTTAGCTTTCATCTTTAATCAAGACATCATCAGAGGCCTCTGAAGATGTCTTGAATAAAAACGAAAGCTAAGGTGCTCCATTGTTTCACCTTTTCCTGTGTGGTTTTATCGAGATTTATCTTGTCCACATTTCCGTTGTGGATCTATGAAACTGTGTGTGTGTGTGTGTGTATGTACAACCTACAGGGAGGTGCTACTGCCTGGGAAGATATTGGAAGCATATTGTATTGTCTAGTGGTAGACCCTGCTGCCATATGGCATCACGAAAATTGTGACTAAGGCCTCATTTACACAAAATTGCAGGGTCTCAATTGTTTCTCTTACTTTTGACAACACAACATACATATATTATTTCTCACTTTTGATCTTTTTTTCATTTTATTTCTTTATGGTTCTTTAATATCATTATTATTATTATTATTATTATTATTATTATTATTATTATTATTATTATTACAGTGCTGTTATTATTATTATTATCATCAGTATTATTTTATTATTTTATTTACTATGAATTATTATTAAATTTTTGCCCCCCAGTTTGGAATTGTATGTATAGGTGTGGGGTACGCTTCTTTTCACGTGTGCTCTGGTTTGAAATATTACTGTAGGGTATCGTAATTTTTTCATTTGCGAAGAAGCTGGATATGCTTTGTGAATATTGAAGAAGGGTGTTAAAATACGAATTGCTGATAAGCGAGATTGCAAATAGCGAGGTATTCCTGTAGTTTCTAATCACGTTCTTATTCCAGTGTGGTGGTGAAAATGGGTGGGGCGAGACACATGGAGCAGGTGTTGCTGAATATTGACCATGTTCAGCAGAGACATACCTGGGATTGTGGTCTGGCGTGCATCATGATGGTTTTGCCACCACAGAGTCGCACTAGATTCTCAGTGAGACTTTACCAAATATGCCAAGAGGAAGGATTTGACAAAAGGTACTTACAAAATCACCTTGTTTATTAGTATACTGTAGTATACTGTATAAAAATGCCTTATAAAGTTTAATTTCTTTCTTTTTAGTCTTGGCCTTTTTCACCAAATTTCACTGAGATTTCTACCATCATTCTTGTATCCTTTCACATTCCTTCTGCCATATTCTCTCTCTCTCTCTCTCTCTCTCTCTCTCTCTCTCTCTCATATTTATTTATCAACTGATTCAAAAGTTCCATGAAATAAAAGGCCACTTGCATTAGTCTCTTCTTTCTTTAAGCCAAATGTTCAGCCAGTGAGAAAAGCATATGCTGGTCAGCGCCTCTCTATATCACTCTTTGACATTTATGTTTACATCGCTGTGGTAACTCTATTTCCCTTTATTTGTGCTTAATTTTGTGAGCCCAATGACCCATAATGTTTAGGTTAAAGACTTGCAAGTGATAGTGTTGGTAACTTGGTAATGTAGCCAAGCAGTCAAGGAAAAACATCAGTTTGGATGTGGGAATGTGTAGGTTATAAGGCATGTGGAGGCTGGTGAGTGTCAGGCTAATATCAGTTTAGGCTTGGGTTTGACTGTCAATGTTGATTACAACAATTCTGAAGAATGAGGATAAGATGCATTGGGAAGTGATGTACAGTTCTGTAAATTACTGTTTCCAGTATTTTTATGTCATTATAATTAAAAATTATTGTATTGTTGTTATTTATATATTAATTTAAGACATTTATCATGTGTACGCTACCATTGTTTTTGCTATTACCAATATCCCAATGAAGTCCTTGCACTATATCACTTATAAGAGACACTGGTGCTGTCCCATCTGAATCTCAGTGGAAAGCATGATTGTGATTACCTTATTTTGAGCTTCTTTGATGAGTACTGTTCAGTTTTCGGGAATGCATCCCAGCCATTAATCAAGGAACTGTATTGTACTGTACTGTACAGGAGGTCTCTGACTTTTGAGTGTCTGACTTACGAGCACCCGCCAATACGAACAGGGTTAAACTTGAAATATACAAGTCATCAGGTAGATAATTATTAACCTGATGACTTGTTTTTTTACTTTCATTTACTGTATTTTGTCATTCTATTTCTTCTTTTGTCTTAAATTAAGTGATTTTAGATGTATATAAAGACTTAGGCTATGATATAGTGGGATTTTAAACATTGTTTTGTAAGTATGTTATGCATATAGCATGTGTTACGACTTACGTACAAATCCGACTTACGAACGTCCTCAGGAACAGAACCCGTTTGTAACCCGGGGATCCCCTGTATATAATTACCATCAAACTGAAAACTAATCTTTTTGATACAGTACAGTATTCTGTTTTATATTTTTAATTTTTGCACTTAATTTTTCCTCACTGCCCACTCTCTTCTAATCTTCTCTTAAGTCACACATCTCTCAAAAAGGACTTCCCATAGCTACTTCTCTGTTAACCAACCTTCACTTATATTTACACCCCATTGTCATACAGTAAGATCTCATATTTCACGCTACTGTATTTTATTTTGCGTTTTTTAATTTTGCGAGCACTACCTAATGTAACCAAGTCTTATATTTGCCGTAAAATATCGTGAATTTCGCAGATCCAGCCAGCTGAACGCTGGCCACCGTCTTGAATGACGTCACAGCTCTCATACCAGTTACAGTCATTTCTGCTACAACTCGTGTTTTGTCAATGCGAATTAGTTGCAACGCAATTGATGAATAGGGGAACGCTATTTGTAAAACTCGAACTTTTGCATACGAATGTTGGCTATAACACGATTCCATCCTCAACATTTTAAGCGTGGCCGGGATTATGCAATATTTACAGTTCACGTTCGTCATCACATGTTCAATTAATTCGTGTCTTTTGTTTGTGAAGTGTTTTTTGAGAGGTACTCTGTATTTTTTTTGTTTGTTTTTCCCAAATTTAGCTGTTACCCATAAATACTGTATGAAAAGAATAAGTAAAAAGAATGTTTCGCAGTGAGGACTAATAACGGTTTACACCAGTGCTCTCTGTTTACATCACGTGATCAGTTGAATCTCGGGGTTTCTGTCGATTGCTCCGTGATTTTCGCTGTTTTCTCCAATTTTGTTGTGTTAGCGATGAATATGGAAAGACATGGAAAGAAGAATGTTTTCAAGAAGCGTTCTGGTGATCGAATTGCCGGTGGTGAACGTAAAAGAGGTTTACAAGAACGCAACTATCGCGTTGTAGCCCGCGCCATCGTAGCGACCACCCGGGCTGTTATTGTGTGCTTTTTTGGGTGGTGCTACCACCTGTTGAGTCAAGATAATGGCCTCTACCTCTACTGGGGGTCCTACTGGTGCTGGTGGGGGTGGGACAGATCCACCTAAGCGGCCAAATAAGGAAAAGGAGAAGCGGGACTATCATAAGGGAGTTAAGTTTGCCAAGTGCTCGATGCAGGATAAGCAGCGTGTGATTAAGTTACTTGAGGAAGGCCTAAAAACTAGTTTCCGGAAAGCACAATCAAGTCAATAGAGGCAGAATTTGTATCATTTGGAAGTTATAAATGGGAAAATCAGAGGTTGATGTAGAGTGGCCAGTCTATATTGTTATTTTTCCCATTAGCTTATGTATTTGCATTTGGCTAATTTGAATTTGGCACAATTTTTCCAGTCTATATTACTCGCAAAATACAAGATCTTAATGTATACAAATTATGAACACCTGTACAGTAAAGTAAACCCTCGATAACTCGGGATTTGATAACTTGGAATTTCGTATAACTCGGCTTGGATATGGCCTCGGAATGTATTATAGTATAACTTGGGAAATGCTAAGATATATAAAATTATCTGGGAAAATCTCAGCATATCTGGCATGTGCATAAGAGTTATGCCACGCAGGATGCCCGGAGGTTGGGCCGTGCTCCAAGCGTGAGTCAGTCTGGGGCTTGCTATTGCTGTGGTCAGGTGTGCACGGCTTGTCTTTCCACACTTTGTTCTCTGCTTGTGTTCTACCTCATCAAACATCACTGATATGGCATCTGCACCTTCAAGGAGGTATAGGAAGGACATGAGGCTCAAGTCCCTGAGTATTCACAAGAAAAATAATATGTTAGACCGAGTGGATGTTGGCACATCCATGTGTATGGTGTGTGTGGAGTTTGGGATCAAGCCCAGCACATTTTACAATATAAAAAAGAATCAGGACAAGATTCGGAAGCACTTTCTAACTCTAGAGGACGCTGGCAGCTAAAAAAAAGATTACTGATTTAGATCAAGCTGTGTACTAGTGGTACAAGCAGGAACATGCACCAGGCGTCAATCTACATGGCGTGGACATTCAACACAAGTGCTGGTTGGCTTTTCAATTTTAGAAGTCGTCATTGTTTGGTTAACCGGAAAGTTGTAGGTGAGTTTGCCAGTGCTGACAAAGGAAGTGTTGAACCCTTCAGGAAGCATCTTGTAAATTTATTGAAGACTCTCAGTTATTGGTCAGCCAGATATACAACGCCGATGAAACAGACCTTTTTTGGAAGGCTCCACCGTCCAACACCCAGGCTTACAGGCACGAGACACATGTAGCTGGCAGGAAGATGGCAAAGGATCGAGTCTCAATTCTTGTCTGTGCTAATGCTGACGGCACCCACCGGCTGAAAATGATGGTTGTGGGAAAGGCAAACAAGCTCCATGCTTTAAAAAAATATCATGAACACCTTACCAGTGATATACTGTACAAGGGAAATAAGACTGGCTGGTTCACTCGCGACATCTTCCACACCTGGTTTCACAGCCACTATGTACCTGTTGTCATCAAGTATCAGGTGGAAGTGCTGGGTATTTCGAGGGATAATGTAAAGGCCATCCTGCTCCTTGACAACGCCCCTGCACATTTTGCCGTGGAGGAGCTTGTGGGATATGGTGGTCATTTCAAGGTCTTGTATCTTCCTCCCAACACCACCTCCTTAATACAGCCAATGGACCAGAGAATGATAGAGGCCTGCAAGTGAGGCTACAGATACAAGTACCAGGGAGAATGCCTTGTGGTGTTGGAGGACGAGGATGACACGGGGGAGCTCACACTTTGGAAAGTTACAAAGCCTACAACATCCATAATGCAGTGTTTAACTGGGCAGAGGCATGGAAAAGCCTTAGTGTAACTACTATAGCCAATGCGTAGAATAGACTTTTGAAAGGCACTGAGGTCGAGGTCGACTTGGCAGGGTTTGGCACTGACGATTTTGTTAACTTGCTACACCGAGGTGGAGAGACTGGGGTGTCTGAGGACAATGTTGTGGAGTGACTGAAGGTAGACAACACAGAACAAGGATTTTGTCACGACACAGAGAAGGAGATAATTGCAAGTGTCTCTGAAGAAATGACAGAAGAACAAATTGACGAATGTGACGATGAAGATCCCAGTCCACGGCCTAAGCTATCTAATCTCAGATTTCACTTGGACAAGGCCTTGGAGGTAGTGGGGCAGTTGCCTGGCCTAGAGAAACACTGTTCAACTCTTAGAGACATCAGGGCAGATGTCATAAAATGTCAGCACACCAACTTCAAGCAAGGGAAAATACCTGACTTCTTTAAACCTGCGTCAAGGGTTCCAAGAACCAGTCGACCTTCCTCCAGCAGTGAAGCCTCCTCAGTGATACCTTCAGTATCAGGATACTCTTCCTCAGACACTTCCAGCAGTGCCAGTTTCCTACACAATATTTTCCCAGAAGCACCACATGTCATACTGTCATCTGACAGTGAGTGATTACTGTATACAGTGTACTGTACATCTCATAGTGTTAAGTGAAAGTACCCTGTACAGTAGTGTTTAAGTGAAAATACCCTGTAGTGTTTAAGTGAAAATACCCTGTAGTGTTTAAGTGAAAATTTCCTGTAGTGTTTAAGTGAAAATACTGTACAGTATTGTACTCTAGTGTTTAAATGAAAATTCTTTGTGCTTGTAAAGATCTTTATTTTACACAAGTGAACAAATTACTGTACAGTAGTACAATATACTACTGTAGTACAGTACAGTATAC